TTTGCTTGAATGTTCGCTTGAAAACTCAATAAAGTACTGCCTTGATAACGAGAGCTGTCTCTCTGCCCTCCATTTTTTGAACAGAAGTACTGACACCTCCGATCTCCAGTCCATTGGTGTCTTTCCCGCAGCCATAGCATGCTCTGTGCTCCTAAATCTTCGAACATTTTTGAGTGGTTTTCACTAATTTCAGCAACCGATTCACTTTTCAATTTTTTACCGCTTCTGTGACTTCAATTACTAAAAAATAAATGCACGCTGCCTGTTGTTCTTTAATCGAGTCATTCTGCGTTAAAGTGCCTCAAGTTCGTAGGTATTAAACTGCACAATATTCTGAAGTTCGAGTGGCTATAAAATTCCCAGATATCAGTGCTGGAAGTCCCCGCCAGAATTACCAGAATTTTGCATACAGCAGATGATGGATAGGAGGCAAGTTAAGTATTGGATTCTTCTCATATAACAGTACACAATTGCGTGCGATATAAACATTATCAACTATGATGATCGAAACTTGTTTATAACATTGTTTCCAGCAAAAGAGTATTAGAAAGTCAATACTGTTTTACTGATAGGTGTTTTTCACAATTGGACTATTGCACCATTCCTGCCGTATATAAATGATGATCGCACCGCCGCGGAATTAGGAAATGTAGGAAAGAGATTTTTTGTGAGATCGAGTAACCTCGATTTCTCTAATACTATGATGGAGGCCTTAGTGAATTGCCTCATCCGTAAAGTCATTTCGATTTCATTCAACTTATTCCCAAATGAAGGTAATGAAGGTACGCTGGAAGTAATGAAGCTTGATAATAGCAAGTCTTTGGAGGTGGGGCCTATTCAGTGACGTTTGCCTACCAACTCTGCGACTGTGTCGTGAACGATATCCGGGATCCATCAGAGAGCGATTTCCCACGTGTCTTCTGAATAGTGTCGGGGATAAGCAACTTGCCGTTATGTCGAAACACAAAAATTCGTCCAGCGAAACAACATGCCTGCCAATCAGCTCTTCTCATATCGGTATTACGGTTTTGGCCATTTTACAAATGGTAAACAAAATGTCAGATGTAACTTATAGCGAAGTTAAGTAAAAGACGAAAAAACGGTAGACCAAAAAAGAACACAGAGATTAAATAGAGCTAACCGAAAAAAAAGAGTACAAATGGCAACGCAAAAACAAGAGAGAGCGCACCGAAAACCAAACAATCAAGAATCCAGTACAATAAAATGGATTCAATTTTTCATCTACGTAGTCACAATGACTCGGTGATATGACGTCAATGTTTATCACTCAGACTGTAGAGGAATTCAGATCTTGTCCTTGACAAGGAAAATGGTTTTTTTCTTTATAAATACCAGTTATTCAACACCATAAGTGATGACTCCTGATCTCGTTATTTTTTTAAACGCTTTTCGGTAGTTCAGTCAGTAGAACGCCAAATCCTGTGTCAATATATCGCCAGTTCGATTTTTCTGTCCTTCTTTAGTGGACTTTTTTATCATAAACTTTCATAACCGAAGAACTTAAACATTAGAGTTGTGAAGGCCTATGATATCTGGACGTTTTGATCTTAGATTGATTGATGAGGACGTCTTTTGCCATCTTTCTGGTCACAATCAGGTGTTATAAAGAATTATTTTTAAGATTTGCATCGTCGTGCAACATTACCATGACCAGTGAATAAATACCATATCGAGACGTGCAATTCAATACCACTTATCTGCAAGCGCCACATTCAAAAATAAGGCACTTTTCGTTAATGATCTCTTAATGAAAATCATGGAAGTGTCTATCAGATTAGCGAAAGAGCGATTACCGAAAGAGGTGATCTCATGAAAGCGGAAGAGAAGTGAAATTCTAGCCGTTACAACCTTCTTTCCTCATTACTCGCGATATATACTGTCAATTATCGAAGCAAAATGAGCGAATACCACGCTTAAGTCAATCCCTGATTAATTAGAACATTGAAACCAGCTTTTGGACTTAAAATTTGTTTGTTAAAACTTCTTTAACACTACTTGATTTAAAACAGCTTCGAAGCTTTAATTGAAACGTCAATCATTTACCGCTCATTCTGGCAACAACAGCTGTCCAACCCTTTCTCTTAATTAACTAAAAGTACCATTGCCAAGCCTCGAGGCCTATTTTCGTCTCGCTAGTGCGATTAATGGTCACAGCATTCCATATGTCTCTTTTAACTCATCATCCCATTTCAGCCGAGGTCTTCAAAATGAGAGCTTGCAGCTCATTGGGTGCCAACCCGCAACTGATGAAGCCTATCGGTAATCCGTCAGTCGCGCGATGTAGATTATGACAAGTAGCTTTGACCATTTGCTAGGCGTCCTGGACAGAAAATCCGTTTACCCTTCTCCTTAGTGAACTCTAACACCCCTACCTTTCTCCGAAGGTTTCTCCTCCGCACCACCGGGTAGTGCCGCGTTTGCGAGGATCCATTTACGTAATGGTCATTAATTCAATTCCTACTGAAGCGCGTCTACTTAAGCGTCCCCCCTGCAACAGCAGGCCAAACAGGATTTAACTTTCCAGCAATAAAACAGCAGACATGAGAGGAAATAATAAAGCAGCGTGTTTACAATTACATTTATGTCCAAATTCCTTTCCACACTTTATTGTAGCATTTTTCAAATGCACTCTGACGGTTGATCGTCTATTTCTCCGAAGTGTCACATGAGTAACTGACGAGCACACATGCAACTCAAATGATGCATGCGAGGGCGCACAATATATTGTCAAGTTCAAGCGTGCTCTGTTTGGCATCTCCAGGCAAATCGATAGCTTTCTAATCATGATGCGCAGTTTATAAGAATGCAAAGAGCAGTAGAAGAGATGCAACCATTGAGCAGCTGTCAAATCAACTCCACAGTACAACAGTCAAACGTACAGTTTATGTACTTCCTGATTTTATTCATAACAAGATTGAAAAGAAAAAAACATACCTTGTATTTACAGTCTTCTAGTAAACTATCTTGAGCATTCGCGCAGTTGAGAGCAAACAGCAGCTCAGATCTTACAGTACCCCAGAGCATATCTCCTATCCCTCTATAATATCTATGGAAGTTTTCCCTAAACGCTGCAATGGAAGAAAAAACTACATAGGAGCAATCAGAGTACGACGGGATTTTTCTCATGGCGAATCTTTCTAAGATGTTCGGATTAAAACTTATGCCAAAGACAGAAGATCGCGTTTAGCATTGCCCGCACAACAGAGAACAGCAAAAGCATTTTATTGTAATGTTTGTTGTCTAAACCAGAGGATGACGGCTGATAGAAATGATCACAAAGGTCTTCGCCATGTCGCTGGAGTGAAAAATAATGAAACATCACCAGGAAGTCAGGAACAGCGCAAAGTTGCACTGTATTTGTGACCGTGATCGAGCTTTACAGCTCTTTTACCTCATTAAATGAATGAGTAAAATTATACTATTAGCATTTTATGAAAAGTACCACTTGAGACTCATAATTGTCATTGAGCGTTTGTTTATTCTCATTGTACAAAACGCATTCTCATTGTTCATTTCAAAAGTACTGTTGTCATATACATAACGTATATATAAGATGATCCCTCTTTGCAACATATAGCCTTCTTGGCCAGAAGCAAAACAATTTTCATACACATCAATTGAGTTGAAAACCTTGCTTCAGTGATACACAAATAAATGAACATATTTCGGTGGAAAAGGTTTACCAAAAGTCTAGATGGAATAATTTTCGCAAAAAGTTCGGTCCTTCCCATAATCCACTAAAATAAAAATTTCCAGGTGCAGGTGTAAACGTCGTAATTCAAAAGTAGGATTATTTGTAAAGTTCCTAAATTTGTGCAAACGCGAACACGTTCAAATCTTTACGACACACTTAGCATACTGATTCCAATGCATCTTTCGTTACTCTTCGGTATTTCCTCCTTGATATATTCGAAAATCATAAGTACCGAAGCGAAGAAACACTCTGCTTCGCGAAAGTTAATTTTATTATGCAAGTGAATTAATTTTTCTTCCTCATTTTTACTTTGTCACTGCACGGTAATAACAATGTCCAGTCGAGCAAAGTATCAGTTGAGTTTTTTTAACTCCGAGTGCCCCTGCTTAAGGTCAGAGGTCACAAATGCGCTTGCAAGTCAGAATGTCGTTGTGAACTCGTTGAAAGGAAACAACGCTACTCTTACAGTGAGGAAACGATTCTGCTTGCAGATGGTGATAACTTGTGATTTCCCTAAAGATTCAATGATATTCGAGATTTTCCGTACGAGCCCACC